TGCTCCTGTCATAAGGAACTTACTAATATAACTCTGGTTAAGTTTGATCTACTGCTTCATGTGGGAGGTGTTCATAAATAGGATTTAGATGTGTAGATTACAGCAGTTATCAGTAGCGTCTGAGTTCTATGAGGGAAAGTCGAGCAGCAGCAAGATGTTTTTTTCACAGCACATTGAGGTTCGAAGTGACTTGCGTTTTGCTTCGTTTGAGGACCTGCTCAGTTTTTTCGTCTGTGTGGCCAAGAAGTCACAGCGTACCGGCTACAACTATGCAGCAGAAAGCATTACGGTGTGAAACGTAGCGCATCAGTTTTGACTATCAGCAAACTCAAGTTTACCCGATGGCCACCCCAATCTTGGAGCCGACGAGAAGAACAATATGTAGCATTTGCGGTGTTTGACGGAAACTCTGCTGCGTAGAGAGTGAAGATCTGTTTTGTTGGTAGTAATTTCAGCAGGAACCAAAGTTTGCAGACTCTTTTCATTATTATTGTTGCTGATAACTGCATAGTGTGTACTTAACTGTGTCATATTATTTTATGTTGTTTCACACTGATAATCTGATGCTACGATGTGCTGTGCTTGAATGTTTCGAACATTTGGAATTGTTTATGGTTAAGCGATGATGACGTAGCTCAATACAGTAACTTCAATCACCGCAGTTCTGACAGATGGACAGTTCTGAGATGATTTGAGCCTTAACGGTGACAAGGCAGTCCTCCGTTTGCGTCTCAATGTTTGGTTAATGTTTTAGTGTACATGTTATGCAGGTTTGATTGCTGTTGGTGGATACGGCAAGAAGATATCAGCTTTGTAGGAATAAAACAAGATGGAAAAGATGCACGGAGCTCCGATTTGGTTTACTCTGGTGATTTTGGCGGTAACGACAACACGCGTTTGACTTCATCTCTTCAGCGTGAGCTCGCGAATCAACTCAAAGACGTCGAATGCAGCTACTTTTTGGTTGGTTTTTTTTCTGACTTTGATGTTAGATTCGATATTGCTTTTGTATTTTGTATTTGATTACTGCTGTTGTTTAAATGTTTATGCGTTTAACTAGTAGCTTGGATTCATGGATGTTTCGATAACGCTAGGCTAAATGTGATACATTCTCAACTTGGTTTCTGTGTGTTGCTACAATTTCGGTTTAATTTTGTTTTGGTTGTGAAGATTTTGATAGTATTTCAAACTTTGTTTCCATTTGTTTTGCCGAATTAGTTGTCTGAAAATTCTTGCTGTTAGATTGGGTTCGAGTCAATTGTTTCGGTTTTTGACGTTTAGCAATGTATGCAGTTGGGATATTGTTACAGAATGTGGTGTTTGCGCCTTTGTTTATCATAATCATGGCCGTGTTTTGGTTTTGGCAAGTGGTTCTTATCTTGAAACGTACTGATGCAGATAGAATTATCTTGTTTCCGGTTAAAATATTCCATGTTCATTAGCCTTTATTTTGCAATATTTGCTATCGTGTTGGAAATAATTTGATTGTGCTGTGTGAGTTTCAACAATAACTTGTGAATATAGATGGCAGTTGTTGATACATATTATTAGTAAAAATAAATCTTCATCATCGTGTTGCAGCAATTGGTTTTCGGTTGGTGTGCGTCCTCATTGTTGTTGGGCTGTAATTAAAATATTCTATTAATTTTGTTTTTTTGTTTTGTAAGATATGTACAAGATAAATATGTTTAATTATGGTTAGCTTGCTTTAGGAAAAATAAAGTGATATTTATGCTGATCATATGTTCCAGGATGTTACTTGATAGTCATCATATGGCATGGATATCCTTTTATGACCATAACTTGTATTGCAACTCATGGTTCCTACAAAACTCATGGCACGTACTCCTATTTTGGTTTACAATTTGATTTCTTTCTTAACTCAATAATTATCAAGTAAAACCATTGTTTAAATTTTAATGAATTAGTTTTTTTTTAAGACATTTCAAAATATTTTCTAAGCAAGATCATGGATTATTTTCAAACAATATTTGTAAAATATGAGTAAATATTTTCTCTAAATTCAATATATTTAATATTAAAATATTTTTAGTCGAATATTTAAATAGTCCATTTTTTGACATCTCAAGACAATTTTCATATTTTTAAATAAGTTTAATTCTTTCTAATCCTAATATAATTTATTTTCAACACACAAATCTTTCTCTTAATCCATCACGAAAATTAAACTCTTAAGGTCTAGCACCTCTTGAGCTTTTGAGTAATTATTATTGGGGCGTACGCCTTGGATAATACTGTTCGTTTTTCGTTATGATCTTAATTATTTGAACAAAATATATCATATGAGTCTGGCACTCCATGTGATATTTTCATTGTTTTTTTTTTCAAATCACAAAACAAGTTAAATCTTTGAAGTCTAGCACTTCTGGGATTTTTGGACGAACATTATTGAGGTGTACACCTTAAATAATATTGTCGTTCTATTTTTTGTTTAGTACGCTATTATTGACAAAGAAATATCATAGGAATTTAGCATTCTGTGTGATATTTTTGTCGTTCATTCAAACATTCTCCAAATGAAAAAGGTGTCGTCGAGATCTAGCATTTCGATAATACCCCAATTAATTGGTTGTGAGGCCTACGTCTCATTTATCAAATAATTGTCATTTCTCTCATTTTCAAATCCAATCTCATGTCCTCACATCTCGTATCTCAAATTATTTTCATACCTCATTTCACTTCAAATCTTTTTCAAACATTTTTTCTCGATCAAACTTCGAAAGAAGGAGGTTCTTGGAGTCTAGCATTCCTTGAATTTTCGAGTGAATAGCTCTCGAGGCACGCCCTTTGGGTTGTTATTCACTCAACCTTTCGACTTTTTCAAACTCAATCATTCTCAATATTCTCCTGAGTCGATTGCTCATTCGCATTCGCAACCCATTTCATTCATAATTCCTCGTGGTCTCGATATTAGGAGCACCCTCAGGGACTAATATCGTTTCTCACAAACTTAACCCTTGACACGTTGTCAAGTCGGTTTCATTTTCAATCAAATTCTCGACACGTCGTCGAGCCATTTCCAAACTAACTTCCTTTGGCCTCGCATGCCATTTCTTTCGATTCGATCCTTTCACAAACTTTTTTTTAAAAAAACTTACGAAAGAGAGATATTCTTAGGATCTAGCATTCTTTGAATATTCGAATGAGTAACTCTTGGGCTCGCCCCCGAGTTGTTATTAGTTCATTCTTTCGATTTCAAAACATCCAATTCTTATCTTCAACTTACTCAACTCAATTTCCGAAAGAACTGAGTTCTTGGGATCTCGCATTCCTTGAATTCTTGAATGACAAGCTCTTGAGGCACGCCCTTAGGTTGTTTGTCAGTCACTCTTTCGTCTCCCAACTCAACGTCAAACCAATTCAAACCTCATCTTTTCGTGGTTGTTACCACGAACTACGACTGCTCTAATTCTTCATTCTCGTCCGAATGTAAGATACGTAGGCACAAGATCGCGATGATCTTGGCGAGCTACCTCCTCTCCATTTTCCAGTTCCCCGTATCCATTTCGTGGTCGTCTCCACGAACTACGGACGCTCTGATTCTTTATTCATTCTTGAATATAAGATACGTAGGCACAAGATTGCGATGATCTTGGCGAGCACACTTCTATCCATCTTCCGTTTTCCTCCATCCTTTTCCGTAGTCGAACTACGACGCTCTGATTTCTCATTCTCGTCCGAATGAGCATACGTAGGCACAAGGGCCCCAATCCTTGGCGAGCACCCTATTCTCTAACCACCCACCTCCCCTTAGCGTCTTTAACCTTTTAACCTACCAATTCTACCTTTAACAACGAGGAAAACAAGTAAACCCAAACAACACTCCCCACAATTGCCTTAAGAGGTTCCCGTCGAGTACGACGGACGTGAGGGGTGCTAATACCTTCCCCTCACGTAACCGACTCCCGAACCCGGAACTTGGTTGCGACAACCCTGTTCCTATCCTTTCGTTTTCAAGAGGTTTTCTCGATATTTTCCTCTCCCGTTTATTCGGGAAAAATAAAGTTCGGTGGCGACTCTGTCGAACCGCATTTTCGCGCCTTTCGCGCGAGGGTCGTATTTTCGAATAATGAATTTTCGAGGTGCGACAGGTGGCGACTCTGCTGGGGACATTTTTGCTCCATGCAAAGAGAGAGTCGAGCCTATCTTTTGGTTTGTGAGGAGTGTTTGTTTTTTATTTGTTTTCTTTTTATATTTGTTCTCTTGTGGATTTTATTTGTGCTTGTTATCTTGGTTGCCTGTTGGTTCTTGGGATGACATCATGAGTAAAGCTCTACGCCCAAGCTTTGGTAAAAGCAGAGAGAACACATAGTTTAGAATTGGTAGTCGAGTAGTGTTAGTCTCCAAGGACTTGCTCCTTGTGGGCCTAGCATGAAAGCTCCCCCAGAGGAGACCTATTCGTAGATCTCGTTGTAACACAGCTAGCCTGTTGCACGACTTGATTAATGAAGGGTCCGTGATTCTGGGAACCTTTTGTTAGCACCAGTTCCGATATTGGTGGTCGTGTAATGTTAGTCTCCAAGGACTCGCTCCTTGTGCGCCTAGCATGAGGACCCCGCTCAGGAGAGACCTTATCGTCATTATCGTCGTAATACAGCCAGCCTGTAGCATGACGCTAATACGACTAGTGTCCGTGATCCTGGGAACCAAACATAGAAACCATCCCGTAAGTGGGTTTATGGGTAGAATGTTTAGACCTTCCCGTATAGGTCGTACCTGTCAATTTTCTTTGAGCAGGAATTATGGTTACTTATCTGTTACAGTTACCAGCTTCAGGAGCTGTTTGAACTGTGATCCTGTGATCCTGGATCTTGTATCTTGCATTGCATCTTGCATATCATTCGCATTGCATTTCATATGTTGTGCATTTTGCATTTCCAGCCCTTCAACAGAATCTTATGTCTCAGTTCCTTCTTCTCCAGTAAATCAAGTTGATTCCTCGACACCAGTACGCAACTAGAGCCAATACCAGACGAATGATGGAGCAGATTCAACAGGAGCAAGTCGCCTTCAGGGAAGAGTTGGATTCCATGAAAGGAAAGATTGACCAGATCCTCGAAGCCATCCTCACAGCCAGGAGAGAGGAAGAACAGCGTGAAGCCGCCGCTGTCGTCAATGGACAAGGGTCTACTGCCATCCCTTTGGCCCCAATTCCGAATTCTCATGGGATGCCGTTGAACTTCAACAACACAGTCGAGGGAAACACTTCTCAGCCAATCCCAGTGCCTGGAGTTACTGTTGGAGTGATCCCGCACGCCCAGCCCGCTGCTGTGCAAATCCCGGTTCCTCATGTCGAAGATACTTTGATGGATCAGTATGACGATGTTCAGAACTATCATGCTGCTATCCCCATTTCCAGTCCTATTGCTGCTCAGGATTCAGAAGCTATGAAGATGTGCCGAGATCTAGCCGAGAAACTCCGAGCCATGGAGGGGCATAACTCAAATTCTTTCAGTGCTCTGGAATTGTGCTTGGTGCCTGATGTTGTCATTCCTCCCAAGTTCAAAGTGCCGGAATTTTCGAAGTACAAAGGTCTTAGTTGCCCAAACATTCATCTAAAGATGTACTGTCGCAAGATGGCTGCCTATGCCAGAGACGAGAAGCTCATGATCCATTGCTTCCAAGACAGCTTGTCTGGGGCATCACTCGAATGGTATATGCAGCTGGAGCGTAATAGTGTGCGCACTTGGGCCGAGCTAGCCGATGCATTTGTCAAGCAGTACAAGTACAACACCGACCTTGCTCCTAATCGTACTCAGCTTCAGAGTATGACTCAGAAGGACAACGAATCCTTCAAGGAGTACGCGCAACGATGGAGAGAGCTAGCCGCAAGGGTGCATCCACCTCTTGTTGACCGTGAACTTATTGACATCTTCATGGGTACCTTGCAAGGCCAGTACTACGAAAAGCTGATCGGTAGTGTCTCCGCTGGATTCTCTGACTTGGTGATCGTCGGTGAGAGAATTGAGGAAGGGCTGAAGAGCGGGAAGATCCCAGGAGGTTCTAACAGTCAGGCTAGCGCCAAGAGGCCTTTTAATGGATACAAGAAGAAGGAGGGTGAAACAAATGCCATCTTCGTGCAGAAAGGGCAAGCTTCTCAACAAGCTCCTGCTCCTATGCCTTATCAACTTATCGTTGACCTCCAAGATGAGCAAGGTCACATGCTCCAAGCAATGCCATCTTATTGACTTCTTAAGAAAGTCAGAGATAACTGCCACTTATCGTTGACCTCCAAGATGAGCAAGGTCACATGCTCCAAGCAGTGCTATCACCAGTACCATCTTCTAGATAAGTTTCTTGCCAGGAAACTTTCTAGATAAAGATTAGATGCTTCTAGTAGAAACTAGACCACACCCGTTGCACTCCATTACACCCTGATCAGAAATAAACTAATCCATGGTCAATTCAAGAAATCCTCATCTTCCCTTAGCACCATTTTTTGACAAGTTTCTTGCCAGGAAACTTTCTAGACAAATTTCGTGCCTAAGCTGAGGAAGAATTCAAACACACATGTAAATGGTACCAAGATCACCAGCTACGTCTTCTTTGCTTCAGAGAAACACTCCTTGATGTTGCACCCTAAATTTTGACCCCTTATATCCTCATCTCCATTGTAGGATCATATTTATTTGATTAACTAACCTTAACCAATTTCAAGTTTATGTTTGTTAAGATGCAGATGAATTAGGGTTCCGTACCGTCAAAATCGAGATTTCGGTGGTCTGATCAATCAATGTTTTGAATTGATTCAACTTCAAATAAGTCTCTACATCATCAAGAATACAACATTGGGTCAAGTATGGATTCAATTTTAGGTGGTCACCCGGAAATTGAGAACAGTGCAGTTCAAGACGCCCGATTAGGGTTTTCCGATTAGGAAAAGTCAACTGTAGTTTGACCTTTGGTTTAAAGAGTATTTCAATGGTGGGTTTTTGATCCATTAAGCTCCTATGGCTTAATAAAGTCCATTCAAATAGTTTCATGTCCTCAGGATGTCCGGATAATCGACAGTCGACTCGGTAGTCACCGATTGATCGAACGTTTGACCGAAAAGTCAACTCTTCAACAATAAGGAATTTGACTTCAAGGTGTGAATAAAAAATGTTCCTTATATCATATTACACCTCCCCATAAAATTGTATAACCTTTGGATCAAGGGTTAAGAAGTAATTCCAAAAATCGGGAATTAGGGTTTCAAAAGGGGCAAGGCCATAACTCCTCAACCACACATCCAAATGAAGTGGTTCAAAGCTCATTAGAAAGCTCTTGACAAATCCTACAAAACCCTCAAAGTGGTCCATGATCAAAAAATGCATATAATTGGAGTTATGACAAGATTTATTTTAAGAAGGGAAATAACATAGAAAAATTCTAAGTTATTAGCCTTTTAAAGTGGTTTTTTCAGCAATTTGGAAGGCTTTTTCAACCTAGTTCCATCAAGAATTTGGAAATTCCCAAAACATGAAAGTTATAAAGCTACTTAAGGGCTTTCCAAATTATGGTAGAACTCCTCAATAGCATGTGTGAGCAGAAAGTTATGAACTGTGGAAGTTAGGGCTGTCAACACTTGAAACCAAACTCCAACACTTCCCAAAAATCAGTTTTTCACAACTTGAGATCTCCTCAGCCCTTGGATCATGATTCAACAAAATATTCAGATGTGTAGAGAAAAGGAGATGCAGAAAATGTAAGATTTGGAGAGAGAGATGGTAGGTTACAACTTGGCATTATTATATTCATATGTAAGAAGGAGAGAGAAACTTTTCATGCTAGAACTGTTGCAGCTGGCTCACCCTACCTTCATAAATCATCTCAGTCACTTCATGTCCATCTCCACTTGAGTTTTCTGATCTCCTTTGAACTATGGAGCTGATAGGAGAATATTTGGTAAGATTCATTTGAAAATCTCATGAAACTCCCTCCAAAAGTGGTAAAAGACCAAGGCTGCCCTCACTCTTGTTTTGACTATAAATAGAGGCCTCTTATATGAGTTTAGACACACCAGAGCAATCTCAAAAAACCATAGAAACCATAACTCTCATTCTCCTCTCATTCCTTAAGAATCTCAAAAATCTCAAAATCCCCATTTTCACCAAAAAGTTGTCTTGAGCAAAACTCTGCTCAAGACCATTTCTATCATTTCTAAGCCTCTCAAAATCATCCACACAATCCTTAGATATGGTGTAGAAGGTGTCCATACCCTCAAACATCTCAAAAGTACCATTTTTCAAAAAGTCAACTTTCACACCAAGAAAGTTTGACCACTATACTCAAAATTTGCCAAATCCTTGTCTAGGCTTGTTCTTGCTGTTTTAATCATCCATACACCTCACATATGTCATATTACAACTATCCAAAGCATTGAAAATCAACTGGGAATCACATAACTCCAACTGTCTTGAAGGTTGGTTTTGTTGCTTCAAGAGGAAGCAAGCTTCATTTCTTTGCAAAGGAAGGAGTATCTCTGGGTTTCTAAGCTTTTTAGCTTGCTCAAGGCTGGTCTACAAGAGGTATGTGACATTCCAACTATCTAATAATCATACATTGTCATGTATTTTCATTTTATGGTGATTTTTGTGAAAACATACCATGGCTGCTCCATTGTGTTTCTTTATCCAGAACCCTAGTTTTATGATCATGATACTTGTTTTGTTAATATATTGTCATTTGCAAATGATATGGGGGTGATAGGTTACAAGTTTGTGCTTTGATATCATGTTTATACTTGTTTGTGAGATTTTGGTCATTTGTTAGTTTTAGGAGCCAATGTTGAAATGTTGATGGACTAACCCTAGAACTGTCAAACCTAGCTCATTAGTGAGATACGTGGATAACTTGTAAGTTGCTCATAGATCCCCCCCCCTTGCCTTTGATCATGTGTGAATCAATGTAGCCCTTGTTTTCATTATGTCATTTTCATGTCTTTCTTGCCTATCATTGCTATGAAGTGGGTGTTAAGTGGTTATACTTGCTATTTCTTATGCCTCAAGTCTTGGTTTAATGTTTGATCTTGATTCATGATGTATGTCTTGGTGGAGATGTGAAAAATATGAATTTTGCTATATGGGATATCTTGAAGTTTTGTTTTCTTTACCGTCAAATTTGAATCAACATGTCATTTTTGGTTTGGTGTGTTTTTGCTTAAGTTAAAGTGGTGGACTCATGTATTTGCTTATTTTGAGGATGTGTGTGATGCTGTTATGTTCAAAACTTCTTAAGTGTTCAAACTGCCTCATCATGCCTCAACTGTTGCTTTCTTCAAAACATCATGAGATCAACATATCACATTCTGTTTCAATCATTTTCTACATGGTTTGTGTGCATTTTATCGTTGTCCTATCCATTTGCAACTTGTGTATGATCCCAAATTCTCCAACTGTCATGGTTATGGTTGGCTGCATATTTTAAGTGTTGTTGTTGTTGTATGCCTTGAAGCTTCGAATTGCTATTTTCTACTTGATGAGGTTTTTAAACACTTTCTGAGTTTGGTATCATCTTTTATCATATATGTAACATGTGCATAACTTTGATCCCTTCAAAAACTCACTACTTTAAAGAAATCACCCATTTCCCTCATCAAGACAGTTCCACATTACCAAGGTTGGCCAATTTCTGTTTTGATTGGAATGTGTTAATTTGTTGAACTTAATCTCATCCATCATCATGTATATGAGGTGTGTGATTGTTTATTTTGGTTTGAAACCTCATCATTCAAAAATTCACCTGCTGCCTCATCCATTACCAAACTGTTTTGCATTTCCTCTAACATGCCAATTGTTGATTTAATTTAAGTGTGCCTAAGTTTTGAATTCAATATCATCTGTCATTACATTTATGTTGTGTGTGCATCATTGTGTGGCATAAAAATCATCATCTTGAAATATACCTGTTTGCATTGGCAATTTGTTCCAAAAAATTGTTTTCACATGTTATACCACCAAACCACCTTGAAATCTGCCACAGTTGTGACTGTCATGAGAAGTATGCCTTGAGATTGATGTGTTGAATTTATGTTTTTGATACATGTTTGATTTAGTAATGATGTTGTTGTAACTTTGGATTCTGTTGAGTGCTAGTTTGATATCCCTGAGGTTGTGACTGCTAGGATCTAGTTGCTTGGCTCTTTTTACTTAGATTTGATGAGAGGTAAACATTTCTTGGTCTGTGCAAGTTGGTTATGATGATGCCTTTGGATTGAGGGTAGTGTGTCTTGAATTTGCATTCAAAATAGGATTGTGACAGGATTGCTATCATGAGATTTTTACGAACTGTCATAGGCCTCATTTTCTCTTGGACCCCTTGTGAGGCTATTTTGTTTTGGTTATCTGCTAGGGGAGCTTTGTGTCATCTGTGTACCTCAGTTCTGGTGTAGAACTTTGGATTAGTCTTTTTTCTAGCTCACTGACTGAATGTAAGTGTTGTCTTTGCTGGCACAAGTTTTTTATCTTGCTGGTAAGCATGTCTGTTGTTGTTGTTTTTTCCATAGACATTTGATGAGTAGGGTAGAGTGCACCAGGCCTGTTACATTTTTGTTTTGCCTGCTGTCACAGGTTTTTAAGCCTACTTTTGAGTTTGATTTTGGATTGATGTTGGATTTAGGCATTATCATATTAGAGTTTGTAAACTCATCTTTGCCTTAGGTTGGTGAGTTTGTTTTGTGATTAAGTTGGATTGAGGTTTAGGCAGTACCATTTATGCCAAGACTACTAGTACATTGCCTGTTGGTCAGATTTAGTATTTGCTACTATACACCACTTCATCAAACTTGCATTTAACAGTCATGGTGTGCTTTCATAACTGAATTTGTTTAGAGTTAACAACTTTGTTAAAAGAGAAAGGTGGATATTGAGGTGGTTGTGGGATATCTTAACTTTGCAAAGGTCTGATTTAATTGGCATTGGATTGGCCAAAATGTTGTTGTCATTAGATTCATAGAAAAACTATTATAGCTGCCTTGGTTTATCCATTGTTGCCAATTCTGTATGTTAGTTTCCTTTGGCATTTTGATAAACAGTCCTCTAGTACCCTTTAGTGCTAGGTTCATGTCTTTAAACTGGTAACTTTAGGCTGTTAGGTTGTGATTGATTGGTAATTTGGATTTAAGCATTTTCAGGTTATAATCCAATTGCTGTCAATATTTGAGTTTGTTAGCTCAAAGGCATTTTCTGCCAAGTTTAGATGCTCAGGC